TAATTTTAAAACTTTTCTTAGATTGAGAGGGAGAGTCGCCACCGGCGACTAGAATGAAAAAACTAGTCGCAAAATAGAAAATCAAGTCGCATTGGCGACCATTTTAGTCGCCATCTGGAGCCCTGTCAGTTTTATTTTACAGTAATAAAACTGGTCCCAACAAGCCAAACGCACACGAAAACACACACTGACATAGAATAAGCCCAGATATTACCCTAAATATTTTCTCAAACACTTATTCAAAGGAGATTCTAAGGTAGCCGGCAAACAACTTAATGACTTTAATAATGAGTGTATTTAGCAGCTACTAGGACAAAAGATATTAACAGCTCTCTGTAACTAATCGCAATTTAATAAACATGAATAGATAACACTTATTGTGGTTTTGCTTATTCTGGCAGTCCAGAATAGTGCCTGAGCATTTTCTATTCAGGTGCTCATGCATAGCGTCAGTGCCCCTGTAGTATGTCATTGAACTTAACATAGTGTAAAACCAACTTTTTGTTTTGTCATAATTTGAACTACTATGTAGTGATATTAAAGGAAAACATTTGCTATAATGAATTGAAACATTTTAGAAATCATAAAGATAATTTCATTAATATATTGATGGCACGTTTTCAGCGTCAAAGTCATTGACTACGTCGACTAATCGCAGCAGCCCTAATAGAATATGCCCTATTTTCCTTAAGATAATCTATGCACAACAATGCAGAATATCGGTAACTTCCTGAATTTCGATCAATCAGATCGTGGTGACACAACTAGCTTGGTTTGTTGGTTTGGTCACACGTTTGGCCCCATGTCAGCACGGTTATGGATCGGGTGTGGCTCACATACTTTATAATGGAAAACTGCCAGTTTGCGGTATGGCTTGGGTATGGTTCTGTTCTTGGTGGCTGTGGAAAACTGCCAATATTTTAGCATATCCAATCCATGGTTTTTTAATTAGACAGTGTCACTGGACGGGCAGTAGCTGTTCTCCGATTCTAACAGACAACTGTCACATTTTGGTGTTAGAGATTCCTAAGGGCAATTTGACCTGATACGTGGTTTATTTTTCCTAGACCCAAGTCTAGGAAAAATATGACCTAGACCCCAACCTCATTTGTCTTATGAGAGTCTTTGTGTAGAGGTATTGTGGTCCTCATGGAGCACACTTAAGGACTTCCAGATGATTACAAAGGAGATGTCCATTGAATAAAACCATTATACAACAGCAAACTCTTTTTCTTGTTACCAGGACAATAGATTTCAAATATACTGTATATCTGAACTGTCGCTTGTCCTGCTGGACAGACCTGCAGGATTACAGCAAGCCTTGCATGTACTTCCAAGTGTTTTTTCATGTATGCTGTATGTTCGAGAAGTTCTTTAAAACAGTATCTAAAAACATCTGCTCACTGTGGATTAAAGAAGAGCATCAGATTGAACTGAAAGAGCTCTTTGGTGTCTTTGGAAATGGTTTAGTTCATATGCCGAAGGCATTTTCATGCCCTGGCTAGACGTTATTTTTTTCTCCTGTTCCTCTCATTCCCAGGTTTCATACCTTCATGGATTAACGCTCTTTGAAGAATTCTTGTTTGCGGTGCGCTCAGAACCTTCTGGAGGCCCGAAAGCAGACATTCTTCAAATAAACCGGTTTAACGGCACCGAGGTGCTCACCTTTCCTGTTGTGGGAGACGCCCGCATGATACGGGTCCAGCACAGACTGACCCAGCCTACAGGTGAGTAATGCTGCATGGGTGGGTGTGTGAACATGCAGACCTTGCGTTCCCAGCACGAGCCGCAAGGAGGATGCTGCATTGCCAATCTGACCAGGGCTCTTTGCTTAATTGCTTAGGTAAATATCAGCTTGTATAAATACATAAAGCAGTGACCTTTTCATCCCAGAAAAGGACATCTGATATCAGCTTTTAGTAATTTGCATCTTTCGCCAGCGGCGGAGTGTGTGTTCACTGGTGCCTTGCATGTTCCGGAACCTTCCGCTCATTAAAGCCGTGAAATGTAAATGAATGCCAGAGGCTAACAGAGCGTGCCGCTAACCGCCGTGCTTTGTCGCATGGCTAACTGTATGGCTGTGAGGCATGGCTAACTGTCTAGTGGCGCATGCTGCGTTAGCCGTGTGGTGCACTCTTGTCCCTCCCCGCAGCCCGGACCCATGCCTGTGAGGCCGACCCATACGGGAAACCGGGGGGCTGCGGTCACGTCTGCCTACTCAGCGGCAGCTACAAGTCCCGGACCTGCCGATGCCGGACGGGCTTCACCCTCGGGAGCGACGGGCGATCCTGCAAAAGTCAGTGCACATTATTCCCCGCTGCCGTCGAGGCAATTTGTTCTTGGCCGTCGTTCGAACCGTCTGGCAGGCCGAGGGAGATGAGGTATTGATGTCTGGATAAATGATGGTTGAGTTTCCTTAAAGCGATCCATCACAGGAAACACGCCGCACATTAGGCTGTTATTTCAGGGCCTGGAAACACGGTACAGTGAGATGGAAATAAATAGCTGAATTTGCTGATAAACTGGCAGGGTAAATGTCCCTTAACTGGGTCAGGGTGACACACCGAGGCCAAAAGAGTCACTACCGTTCTATTCTGCTTTGAAATCATCATAGACTGACATCATTAAGCATGAGAACACTGACGTTTATGTGTTAATTGGATCTTTTTCTTTAGAAGTATAATCAAAGAGTTAACCTAGGGCTGGGCAGTATATTGAGATGTAGGATGAAACAGTACCATTTGTATTGATATACTTTTATTGTGCCATAAAATAGTATGAGGAAGGATTTCTAATTGAGACCTATAGTATTCCTTTCTGGTTGTAGAGAACACAGGGCCTTCAGTTGTGACGTAGCACAGAATCTCAGAATTCACAGCTAAAATTATGGGGAAGGTGATGGTGGGGAAAGGACAGGAATCATTATTATTTGGTTCATTTTGTTTTCAAAATTGCGAGATGGCTCAGAGGGTAAAAAAATCACTAATTGCAAGATTTGTTTTTTATTGAAGGCTTATACCTTGAAATAGGGTTCTTTCCAGTTTTAAGTGTACTTTAAATTGTTGTCAGGCTTGTTTTTAGAGTTATTTGCCAAATAGATTTTAAATTCACAATTTAAATATATATATTTTTTGTCCCTAAACATTCACCTTTTGTTTTGAGAGCAATGTCATAAACTGAGGAAAAATGACTGTTGGTGACATAGTGGAGCGAAACACTTATATGTTGTAGCTGCGTTACTTGACCCATGCAACACAGATATAGGCATAATTTATTTTGAGATTTCTGTTTGGAATAAAGAACACATCTATATTGACTTTTTGCAGTTGTATATTTGCAAACTGTATTTGCATTTTGTTTTGACCACACTCTGCTTTAATAAGTGTTTGTGACATCTCACATGTGCCATAGACTTAAAAATAAACATTTAGGCCACTTCATAGAAAATACCAAGATATATTGCGTATCACTGTTCTGCCTCAAAATACCGAGATATGACCTTTGGTCCATCTCTCCCTGCCCAAAGTCAGATGCTGAGTTACCTGAAATATCAGTGAGTGAAATGCAGTTTCGTTCGTATCACGCCCGAACTCTCAAAAGCTTCTCTGTGGTGAACAACATTCACCGCATCCCTCTCTAGTAATTGTGTTTAATACAGAAACATGTAACAGAAGATTGTTTCTTGGGGAGCAGGTTTCATTTTTCTGGCCAGCAAATCGCGGTGTGTGCTGTGCACACTCCAGGAATATCACGTCTAATGATGAACGTTCTGGTCTCAGTCAGCCTCTCTGTCTGTCAGTCTCTGTCATATCCCCTGTTAAGTAAATTCTTTAAAAAATTAATTAATAAAACCAGTTAATCTATTTCTCGTGAGCAGAGCCCTACTGAGGGAATTCAGATCTCCTCATATGTGAAGATCAGTGCCTCCTGTATGGGTTGTGTGCTGCTGATCTTCATTTCTGTCCGACAAAAGATTCCCCTGGGTATCATCAGCCTGGGCTAAGTATGCCCCCCCGCCTTTGTTAACGTACCTCAGGGTTAATTAGCCTGGCAATAATGTGACTTGTTCCACTGGCATCTAACAACAAATTGTGAAAAAAACGTCCTACGCCAGAACAAATGCATGTATCCCAAAGTCGCTTTTTACTTAACCAGTCAGAGATGTTCGCAGAAACCGCAGACTGTCCCAAACAGACTGGCGTGATTGACTGATTGGCTCTTATCGAATCAAACTAACACTTCTTTTAATTAAGGTAATGTAATGAGCATAGTCTTCAGGCTTCGCATTCACTTTGCCCAGGAACAGGTTTCACGCTTAGTCCCAGGTTGAAGGCGCATTAATCGTGCCGATTAATTAGACACTGGGGTAAATTGGGTAACTAAGTCTGGTGGACATGTTTGTGGTGTTTGTGTTGCCCTCGCAGAGCTCAAAAGCGAGCTGTTCCTATTCTACGGGAAAGGCCGTCCGGGACTCATCCGAGGCCTGGACATGAATGTCAAGTCTGGGGACGAGCACATGGTGCCGATCGAGGAGCTTGTCAACCCACGGGCACTGGACTTTCACGCCGAGGCTGGCTACATCTACTTTGCCGACACCACCAGCTTTCTGATTGGCCGTCAGAGGATCGATGGAAGCGGGCGGGAGACGATACTCAAAGATGGTGGGCGTCGGGTCCATCCTTGGAGGCGATGAGGAAAGGGAGGGGAAGTCATAAATGTAAAACACATGGCCTACATACCTAACGATCGTGTTGGGGAGTATGTACATCTTAGAGTGTTCTTGATGTATGGTTGTTTATGCATGGTGTTCTTTTTTTGACTGGACCTCCAAATCTGGCCGGAAATTTGTACGGTACCTCCTCTGTTCCATGATTAATTAAGACCTTCAATGCATGTTTTATTACACCTTGCAAAGAACAGAGTGAAGAGGTTCTCTAGAATGGGGTCAACCTCTGTCGCGCAAATGTGTTTGTGTAAGCAGCATTATTTGCATATTCTTTGTTTTTTTTAACCGGAACAATTGATTAATCTCTCGTAAAAAAATGCTTTGGGGTGTGAAGCGTAAAAAGGGCCCCATGCAGACAGTGATAGATTGCACCGGTGTAGTTGCGCTACAGTGGAGCTATTTACCTGCTGTTATAGACCTCGATAATGTGGAGGGAATTTCCGTGGACTGGATCGGGAACAACCTGTACTGGACGAACGATGGCTATCGGAAAACCATCAGCGTGGCCCGACTGGAGAGAGCGTCCCAAACCAGGAAGACACTTCTGGAAGGAGATATGTCTCATCCCAGAGCCATCGTGGTGGACCCTATCCACTGGTACGTCTGAAATCTTTCTATTTACACGATAACCTTGGATTGCCAGAATTTTTAAGGTTTATATATAGTTCTTTAATGACTGTTTATGATTGGCATTACGTATTAGATTGTTTGTCCACTTGAGTCTCGATACACTGACCATTTCCTATGAGCTGCATGGCTGGGATTGATTCTTTTGTGAATCAATCAGTCAAAAAGTTTGTATAACAGTTCATACATACAAAATTGTCACTGAAAAATTGTCAAAAGGTGTTTGAACAGATGGGGGAAGGAAAATGATGAGGAAAGAAACAGGTGGGATTTGGGGAAAAATATAAAATTGTCTGTCACCTGGAAGGGCAGTCAAGTAAATCCTTCATAAAATAAGGCGTGTAGTGGGCAGAGACTGGTGTCATCACCTCTGATCAAATTGTGGCAGACAGGCAGCAGATGGGAGATGGGCGTGACGTACTCTATGAGGGGTACCGCGAAAATCCATGTACCTTCTTGTCGGGGGAGAGGGACGACTGGCAGCGTATCCCATCCAGTCAGCGCTGGAGTCATGACAGGGATTTAAAGTAAAGCTGTGTTTTCGTAACTAAGCGACTTCCTGTCATGTCTTACCTGGATGTCTCCATGGCCCAGACTCACATTAGTTATATTGTCGTTATATCCTCCGTGTTCTGGCACACAGGGGATATATATACACACATATGGCGTACTGGTAGTGGATCTTCTGCACGAAATTGCTTTGGGAAATAATGAGGTGGGATTTGTGGCCTGCAGCCAATCTCATTATCGTCCTGGATGGAAGGAGATCCATGTAGCCGAAGGGCCTGGATGAGGGCCCGACGCCCTTGTTATTCTTGAAATATCGGCACACTTCTTCTATGTGGGCGCAGGGGTTCGGCTTGCACACCACGTTGACGGTGGTTTTCTTAATTGATTGTTAGCAACTTGCTGATGCATTCGGTAGATTGTGAAATTCAGTGTTACGCTGAGATGTGTTTTTAATGTGGACGCTGTGGCCTAAATGAAGTCCAGTGAAAATCAAAATCGGGATCTAGGTGGGCATTCTGTTGTGGTGCAGTAGCAGTCAGTGTCCAGGCCACAAAATGTGATACATTGGGCCGGTGTCTTGATTTTAAATGAACACTGGCTGATATGGTTATGTTAATCGATGTGTTGTGCATCGCTACTATATAATATTATGCATAATTTCTGCCTTTGACAAGATGTTTTTAAGTTGTCTTGCAGCCGGTGAGTATTTTTCCATTTCAGTGAGCACAGACCTGCTGGTGTCCGCACCACAGATGTGCCGATTTCTCTGTTATCTCGCAAAAAGCTCAGAGTCGTCCGGATGCCAGTACTCTGGACCGTCTTTCTGACAGACCTTCCAAACTTCACTTTCCCCTTTCTACCTCCTTCTTCCTTTCCTTCTGTTTGTTTTCTGGACATGTTGATGCATCCATTATGGGGCTAGCAACAGCTACAGCAGAGTCAGTCATGGCTGGATGGACCTGAATTTGGGAGAGAAGGAACGGGTCTTTAAAGAACCACACAGCTGCAGGATGGAGAGGTTTTCTGTCATTCCTGTTCTTTCTGGGGAGCCCTTAGGATATGAACCATCCTTCTCCTCACATGAAACCATAGTATAGGAATGGATCACGTAATGTTTCTTTGTGTCCGACCCTGGCTGAGCCCAGCCAGATTCCAGCAGAGCACCCCCTAGTTCTCTCTAGAAGATCTCCTCATCCTCACATGACAGATGGACGCCCACCCTGTTTATGAGTGTGGTATATTCTCGAGTTGTTTTATTATTAATTCTGTTTCATGATCGTGTTTATTTGCAAGGTCAGGAAGCTGAGGGACAGTTTTCAAGAAACTGCCACATCAACTACGGAAGGGTTTTTCTGCATTTATTCTTTTAGCTGCCTTCTGAAGTGGCAGGTTTTGTTCTTGGCACAAGCATGCAGCACACAAAGTGTCTGTCAGTCTGTGTCTGTCACCTCCTAGCTGTGCTGACACGATAATACGTGGGATTAGCACCCAGTGATTTGCCGCCTCTGATACAGTTTTTTTGTTTTTTTGGACAGTCTCTTAGTGGAGGGGGCTGCCAGTCACATGCTCCCCAGTGTGATTTACAGTATTCATGGGGTCACACGGAAATCCCTGGGAACAAAGAGAGGCCAATTCCTACTGTCATGTGAAGGGTTGTGTAATGGGCGTGTTCGAGGTAGAGTGAGGACCCATCCGATAAATTTTTCTTAATTAGACTATTTTATTATCAGAAAATGAAATTAGGTATATGTTTGGCAGTTTAATAGCTGAGTCTGTATTTGAATTTTTAATCAGCTTTGTTCTTGCAGAATACATCTTCCTTTTGTCTCCAAAGTCCTTGGCTTGCTCTTGTTGTCTTGAACTTGTTTGGTTCTTTTCAAATAGCAAAAAAGCTAAAGCACAAGTTTGGGAGGGTTGGTTATAGGTTATATGTAGTATTTAATTACCTATCTAAGCAATTACTTGAATTATTGCTTTATGTCCCTGAACACTATCAACTGATGAAAACCATTTTAAAAATCACAAGCCTTTTGAGTACTGCAGGTGGCTGAGATTACCATCTTGAGGGCGAATTGGGGCATTAATACTGGTTTTAGACATGAACTGTGTTATTTTATGGTTGATGGGCCCCCTGGTGGTGTATTATTATGATTGTGCTCTCTGTGCGGGGGGGGGGGGGGGTGTGATGATCCAGGGTATCCCCTCTAGCTCCACCAGAAAGGTGCTTATTGTCAGCTGCGGGATTGTTATGGAAAAATGGGATTTATGGAGGAAAATGAGAACTCAGTGAATGGCTAGATCTTTAACTACTATTTTGCATTTTCAACTGCTTCCTGTCTTTGTCAGTTGGATGTACTGGACGGACTGGGAAGAGGATGAAGTCAATGATAGCATCGGAAGGATAGAAAAAGCGTGGATGGATGGGTCCAACCGACAGGTATTCGTCACATCAAACATATTGTGGCCCAACGGTCTCTCCTTGGACCACGGAACCAGCACCATGTACTGGTGTGATGCCTACTATGACCACATCGAGAAGATTTTCCTCAATGGCACTGGAAGAATGGTAAGCCATTACAGAGGTCTGACATTAGTGCTCCAGATAATGAACAACATATTTCAGCACTGGATTATTCAGCTGTTTCATTACAAACCTAACAACCGAACCAAATGACATTTGTGCAAAGATCTGACTTAATGCTCATTTGCATAACCCCCCCTTTGAAACTGGCAAGTTTGCTCTCTGCATAGGTGGTGTATAATGGTCGGGAATTAAACCACCCCTATGGGATCTCGGTGTACCGGAACCACGTCTTCTGGACTGATTACATGAACGCCTCTATTTTCCAACTGGACATGTCTTCGGGTAACGTGACTCTGCTGAGGAGCGAGAGGCCACCTCTCTTTGGCCTTCAAGTCTACGACGCCGAAAGGCAGCAAGGTAACATCCATAACCTTCCTCAGATGCGGGCATAGTGTGTCTCTGAGGCCACAGATGGCCTGTGAAGCTCAGTGAAGGCTCATGGGAAAAGGGCCTCCTGCCTGATTATCTGGGATACACGTAGAACATTTGGTGAAATGATTATGGAGGTTTACAGCTGTGGGTTATGGCCGATTGTCTGTTTACTCCTCCTGCTTTTGTGTCTGTGAGGCGTGTGAGTGTAACGGAATTAGTAGGACTGGAATTGTTGGGTGAAAGAATTGAAAAATAACCAGAAAAACTACTTTTAAAAAAAAAAAAGCTGCAGTTGGGCTCCAAACAGCTAGCAAGGTGTGCACACAGTTTGGTATTGATTATTTTACAAAGGAATGAACAGCAATTTTAAATTGTAGAATCTAGGAAAATTATATTTTTGAAGCAGTAGGGTTAAGTCTAAGCCCTGTTTCTCTTCTTGGTTTGGTATTAAACCTCACCGTGCCATTTATTTGTTGCATAAACAGCCCTGAATCATATTTGCTCCTGAAAATAGTGCAATGATGCACTCGGGCATCAGCTACACGGCGATCATCCTAACGGGTATAAATGTGATGGGCAGACAAAGCGCCCTTTTTAAAACTCAGGTTTGGTGATCTAGGTTCTGGCAATGGATACCATTGGCTTATTTGCACATTTTGAAAAGCCCAATTATATCCACACCTCTACTGATGTGTTGCTTTTATGTACCTGGCTCAGTGGGCACATTTCTCTCTGATTAGGCTTAATAGGGGTTGTCTCTTGCGGAGTCGCAGGCCCCACCCACCGATCGCTCGTCCATCATGGACACGTCAGCTGTCGCCTTCAACCCTGATGACATGCCCGTCCAAAAATACTGAGTCATCTTGACTAATGGAGTAATTTAAAAGGGAATCATTATGCATGTTGAAGGATTTGTAGCTAAAATGAGACATGAATTGCATTAAATAAATGAGTATCATCGATTAATAATCCAATTTAGCTCTTCAGCACATGTTGTATCATGTTACAAAGGGAATTATTGCATGGTTCTCCTATGGGGGCTGAACACGCAGGTCTAATTAATTTGTCATTAGATTGCAACCCCTTCCTGAACCACAAAGTAGCTCAGTCTGAGGGAACAGTCGTGAACCAGGGTGCAGGGAATAGGCAGCAGGGTGGGAGGGAGGGGGGGCGTGTCCTATAATCCCATAAATGACCAGTGCTGTATGGTGCTGGGGTGGCAGTGCTTACAGTTAGGGATGAGCTTTAAGCCCCCTTCCTCACACTGGGGCTCAGTGCAGAACGGCAGTGAGAAACCCAGTCTTATTACACTCTCCCCCACCATTTTTTGTGAGGTGCAGCCTTAAGTGGAAGCAAAAACATTTTTGTCTTGTTTTTCTTACTCTTGTCATAGTTGACTCACCGGAATGAGGCCTGTGTGTTTTGTGTGCATTATGTTTGCTTTTTGTGCTGTATATGTTTCTGCTTTTGTATGTTTTAGGCTAGGTTCACACTGCAGGGCTTAATGCTCAATTCTGATTTCCTGCACAGATCGGATTTTTTGTTTGCCTGTTCACATTACTCTTTTTAGTGTGGGCAATATCAGATTTCAATGTGAATGGTTCACTATACTGAACTGACCCGCGTGCGCACAAAACAACAAAGACACAATGACGTGCACGCGCAAAAACAAAGACGTCACTTTATTGATTAGAAAACTGCCCAGTTACGATATGAACCTTCTAGTTTTGCCTGAACAGATTTATCTCCCCAAATACTTATTAAATCCAGCACCTCACTGTCCCTCCACTGGCCAATTTCTGTGCTCTCCTCCATGTTTGGCACTCTGACGGAGACATATGATGACTTCCGCCTGCGCAGAATTGTGACGAATGTCAATCAAGAGTGACGTAAAATTCGCATGAATTCCGATTTCACTATTCAGACTGAGGTCACATTGCAAAAAATCAGACCTGTATCCGATTTATGACCACATGCTGAAGTGGCCCGAATCAGAATTGAAAAAATCGGATTCCATGTGACTTGTGCTGTTCACATTGTCATGAAAAAATGCGATCTGAGTCTCATATGGGCAAAAAATCTGATTTGGCCCGCATTTGTCCTGCAGTGTGAACGTAGCCTTAGTGTGTCTGCTTTATTGTGTGTGTTTATTGCGTATTTTCTTTTTGTTTTGTGTTGTTCTGTGTGTTCAATCTTCCTGTGTTTTGTCTTTTGTTTGTGTGTTTTACTGTATGTTTGCTCTCCTGTGTGTTTGCTTCGGTTTGTGTTTTAGTGTGTGTTGTCATTATTATGTGTTTTACTGTGTGTTTTCTTTTTGCTTGTGTGTCTTGTTCTGAGTATTCAGTATTCCTGTGTGGTTGCTTTTGTTTGTGTGTGTTTGTACGTGTTTGCTTTCCCGTGTTTTTTTGCAATTGTTTATGCATTTTTGTGTTTGCACAAGCTTTTTCCTCACGTCCTTAAAATGACACATTAGCCCACCTGGAATTAATAGTCCAGGTGAATTCTAACCTATTATTCTCATGCAGGTGTGAAAATAATGGGACAATTCGGACAACGAGCTACAAAAACGTTTGCTTTTTACAGAGTTTCTACCAGGCAGGCAAGCAGGCATTAGAATTATTTACAGGGAAATGCACTAAATTAATCAGAGCTTAAATGCACAGAGCCTCATAAAAGAAAAGGAGAGCTGGATGGCTGGCTCGATTCCTGTCAAAGAATTTTATGTATCAGAAAAGGCAATTTATCTGGCCGGAGCCCAAAACGCCATGAAGATTAATTGGATCGCTCTGCTGCTGAGTGCTATTGATTGGCTCCCACCAAAACAAAGGCCTTTATCTCATTGGTTCAGGCCCAGCGTCTGGAATCACCCTGGCGTCTAGGCCTTAAGAGCAACCCTTGTACTTCACGCTAACAAAGGGGTGACGGCTTGCCGAAGCCATTTTCTGGTATTGTCCCCGAGTGTGCAATTCACTCTGATCACAATTACCTCTCTGAGCGCGTGGTGCCCCCAACCCGCTTTGCAGTGACACCGCATCTATTTCATGACGTATTGATGGTCTTTATCTTCACATGATTCAGGGGGGCTCAAAACAGGTCTGCCTGGAGAGGCTGGAACTTTCTGTCTCCTGTGAGTTTCTGCATGGCTTCCCGCAGATCTCAATTTGAAGGCCTTGATTCCCTCAGGTGACAACGCGTGCCGTGTCAACTACGGGGGCTGCAGCACGCTGTGCCTGGCTGTGCCGGGGGGGCGCATGTGCGCCTGCGCTGATGACCAGCGCCTCCAGAAGAACAACGTCTCCTGCTCGGGTGGGCCCCCGTCTGCTTGATAATGCATGTTTGAACACACAGTTGAACTGGTCACCCTTATGGGTTTCTGGTTCACATCCCCCAACTGTCCATATTGTTATGGGACAATAGGGCATTTAACCCATATCGACTTAGAAAAACATTGAGCCATCTAGATGGGAATATTATTATGCATATAATGTATAGATTTCTACCTTAAGTGGCCTTTTACTGATGAAGTTATGTTATTACCAAAGGAATGTGTAAATATCACTTATGAGTAACGCAGGGAGGTGCATTTCACAGTGTTTTACAGTGAATTGTGGGAAATATGCAAGTTAAGTCCGAAACAGTTGGCCCCATGTGATGTTTTGATCGTATGACCTCCAAAGCTTCGTCTGGAGATGGGGAACCCCCGCGCTGTCTAGCTGACGAGTTCCAGTGCCGGAACCGCCGCTGCATCCGGGCTGCATGGAGGTGTGACGGCGATGACGACTGTCTGGACGGCAGTGACGAGGAGGCCCATGCGTGCTGTATGTGTCCCCTGTTGCCCTTAGCGTGTGCCTCACCGGTGTGCATCTGAAAGAGGGCCAGCCATGATAGACAATAATGTCATTTAAGTCCACTTCCCAACGCGTGCCATTATCATCAGGTGTGTCATGTTAAATAATATATCAGTGTTATTCAGGTTCATGCGAGTGTGAAAAGCAGCCTAGGAAGATCAGTAATACAATATGTGAATGTAAGCAGGACTAGATAAGGAAAGAAATCAAAACAAAACCAGTCCGGGGAAAAAACAAAAAAAAACAATTTGATTAAGCATGTAAACCATCTGCAAAAAACCAAGACATCTGGCCAGCTGATTTTATTTATTTATTAACATGGGAAGGTGTGATGAAAGGATTGAGGAGGATAATCCTGGCAGTAAATGTCCACGCTATCAGGCTTTCATGATTTTGGACGGAACCATCTGTATCTGGAATTCAACCCATGTTTCACTCCGCTAAGCCTTGAGACATCCACAAACCACAGGTTAAAAATTCAGGATTCTTTATTGCCATCTCACCCTGTAAGGATACATGAGCACAAACATTTGCACAGCAAGCGCCACATGACAACCATGAAATGTTGTTTCTCTGGGGCATCACAATTTGAGATGGAGTAAAGATAAAACGTTTAACTAGAAAAGGCATCTACTCATCATTGATACCTGTCAATTAATCATACATCCAACATACCAGCGATAAAAAATTATTACAGTTAAGTATATATACCGCTGAATATATACATATAGACTGCTGCAATACAGATTATATATATTATACATGCATAAATTGAGACCGCAGCAAAACTTTGTTTCACGCATTTCTCTATTTGTGGTTACGTGCCTGTGTAAAAAAATTTTCCTAACTCCAGCCTGGCTCTTCCCTGCTTCTCATTGATGAAAGGCTTCTTCCATGCTTTATGGGTCTTCTGTGGAAGTAAATTTGTTTTTAGATCCTGAGTGAACAGTGAGCATACGAGTAGGCCTACGAGTTCTGTCGCTCCGGTGGACAGAAGGGTAGATTGTCTTTGATTGTATCATCGCGGATATGACTGTCCTAAAGTCCGCTGTTGTCCTATCTCTACTACCTTAGCTAGCTAGCTTGCAAATGAGAATCTCAGTAGGTCCCTACAAGTAGCTAACGTAGGCAAAATAAGTTTGGTGTCAACATTCGTTAAAAATCTAGATGTATCAGTTTTAGCCGATATTGCCAGCCGATAATTAAACTTCATAAATATTAAAATTGAACAACAAAGTGCTAGATGTGGACTATGTGTAGACAGTTTGGAAAGTGGAGAAATAAGATTTGGTTGTGTTTTGTAATTTGTGAGCTGTGGTGTGCTGTGTGTTTTTGGTTCTCCCTGCTTCCGTATCAATTCTAATTAATTCCACCTGCAACCCGTTGTCGGACAACCTATTAATTTATTTCCTGGGACGATAAGAGGGAAGAGAGCATTGAAATGCAGGAGTTTTTTCCATTTAGTTGTGTTGGGTTTCCTTTTTCTCATTTTTTTAGTTGATGGGCGGATCGAGACCAGCGCAAGTAAAAGGACGACCCACAAGGGAACCCGAGGCTTTCAATCGGATCGCGAAAACACTGCACCTGTTATTTTTTTCTAAAGGAATGCCTTTATTTATATTTGTGTAAATGACTGGACGACGGTTGTACTCTCTCGCCTTAAGCTTACGGGTTGCATGTGAAGAGGCTGCGTCAGGCTGGTCTGGTTCAAGACTGTGCAATGTAGTTACAAGGGACCCGCTGATCAATCCAAAACAAAGGACATATTGGTATTTCCTTTAGGATGTTTTATCGTGGGCCCATTAATTAGTGGTTATTAAACCCATATCGATTTAGAAAAAAAAATGTCTGATACGGTCATTTTCTATTATGTGGCACTGCATGATTTTTGGTTGTACTGTTCTTTGTTTGTAAGCTTACCTGCTAAATGTTTCTGTGCTAGAGTTTGAAAAAATTAGTTTTAAGTGTCTTTGGAGCTGTGGTCCATAATTTGGAATCTAGAACCTGCATAATAAGAGGTGCTTAGCTGTCATGGGCTGGTCCCTTGGCACAGATTCGAAGACGAAACTATTAAAATAATGGAGATTACTGCATTGGAGAACTAGCCATTCTCCATAGTGAAGGGCAAGTGATCATCTGAAGAAATGTCTTCCTGTGGAGTCCCCAATCATAAACTTTGCCGATCCAAAAACACGGATAACTCACATCCGGTATTGGTTCAAAACGGAACGCAAAATATTTTACAGTAGGAGATAAGTAACAGCTGCTGTCTGTCACATAAAATATGTGACAGATAACAGCTGTTCTTAAAGCATTTTCAAAGTATCGACCCCACAAGGTACATTGATACAATGGGTGACATTTAAATAAATATTAAATCTGTCCAGCAGATCGATCGTTCGTTTTCCACAAGAAACGTCATTCCGTTAATTGATGCCGGCAAATTTAATAACTAGCTAGACTGAAGAGAGAGGACAGTAGCTGACTTTGTCCGCGATAACACAAAGCGCTCACAGCTGACTCTGAATCTAGACAAGAACTCTATCAGCACTGCTCATCCTGCTGGTCCCGGATGTAGAAGGTTGAATTTTGTACCGTATTGTAAACCACTGTAATTTTGGCGGTGTATTTGTAAAGCGAAAATAGAAGGACTGAATATTACATCTTGAATTATGAAGATGGCATTTAAACACATTGAATGTTTCCAACTGAAGATGGTGTCTTGAAATTTATTTTGAGGCAAAAGTAAATGCATTGAATTCAGGTGACTGACTTATAAAAATCAACTTTATAAACTGTATATTTTGGAATTGAATTGTGGGAACCGAATATTTTTGCATTGCTTATTTTACCAATGAAATTACAACTGAAGTATTCGATGTTTAAATGTACATTCACATAATATACAGTATATTCCAGCATTATTAAATGTGTGTTTTTATTCAAGCGTTATTAAATGAAATGGGTTTTTATTCGATTAGTTTAATTTAACTTGTTTTTTTGCATCAACAACTTTTTGTCATTAATTTACTTGCATATTATTGCCAGTGTCTCCTGCTTCACCTTGTTCTTGTGTATTACTGCCTTAGAAGCTTTGAGCCTGGAAGCCGCCTGCCTTGCAGTGTATCATTCTGCCAGCAGAACTAGGATTAATCCAGAATTTTAAAATGCATTTTTTTTTTAAATATAGAGCGGGCTCTTAATTTTTTTTCCAGAGCTGTATATACATGCACATATTGCACAAGACCAAAAAAATACTGGAGTGCCTTCTGCTTTCCCCTCAGATAACCATAGCTGCCCCGCAGACCAGTTCAAATGCAGGAGCAACCGCTGCATCCCCAAGAGGTGGCTGTGTGACGGCACCAGCGACTGCACCGATGGTGAAGACGAGTCCAACTTCACATGCTCAGGTAAGGAAGAGCAGGGTCCAGCCAACCAGTATCGGTGGAGCTGAAGTGAAAATGAAATTATTATTTTTTTCCATTTGAACAAGGATGAGTGCAGATACTTGATGGAGTTTTTCCACAAATCCCATATTGCTCTGCTTTTTTTAAGGCCCACACACATATTAATGGAGATGAGAGTGAAGCTTGGGGTCTGAGCACGGGGTCAGGCTACTTATCTGACACCCCTGGAACACTTCCTGGGGGGAGGGCTTGCCTAACCCCCTGAACCACACCTGATGGCCTGAGTGACTCGTCCTATTGTTGTGTCATGTCGGTTGGACCTTTCAGTGCTTCCCTGCAGCATGAAATATGCATTTCCTCTGGTTGTGAAATATCTCCTCTGAATGCCTGTCTCACTTATGTAAGTGTTCTTAGATGTGCTGAACGTTGTGTGTTCTGGGGGACACTAGACAGCTGTGTCATAAGCCTAGAAGGAAAAGAAAAACTCTTCCCAGTACAGATAATGTGTTTGGATTTGCTTTAATGCTTTGTGGTCTGTATCTCATTTTCGATCAGTTATTAATGTACATTGGGTTTCATTTTAACTTTAAGTGGTTTGACAAAATTAAAAATCATTGGGCCATTTGGCAGTCTGACCTGGTTTACTGAAGTTAAAAACTTCCAAATCCAGAACTGTTTCAGTGGAAGATAGAGGCTTCAAAAATCTGTGCCTGTTTGTATGTGCACTGATTTTTCTTGATTCCTGTTGGGTTAAACCAGGCAGTGATTGACAGCCCATGATAGCCCCACCCACCAGGGGGTTCTTAGTACCATTTGCCCCATTACTGCTTTGTTACTGTGAAGTATCCTTTGACCAAGTAGCAAGGACAGCGATGTCTGATGGGGAGGGGGCCGCCAGGCTCTCTGCAGGAGTCTTAGGCACTTTGCGTGCATCATAAACCCCATTAAAAGTCACGAGTATGATCTGTGAGGGGAAAAGCAGATTAAATGAGCGAGAGGAGCTTTTCAAATGTAGTCCGTAATGCAAAGTGTCGTGTTTATGGGAGAAAGACTTTCACCGGGCATTTCATTTCAGATGCAAAACATTAAATGTCTACTAATGAAATCATCTACATAATCATTCATGCTGTATAAATCACTATATAAAGATAAACCATTTTCAAAGAATATATAATTGCACTTTTATCTGATTTAAATATATTTTTAGATTTTTATTTATTTGCTAATTTGTGGCTTAACTGTAAAGTCTAAGCAAGCTGGTTAAGGTAGACTAATGTTAGGCAGGAGCCCTCCCGAGATAATGGGTCACATGACACGTGGGGCCCCAAGCCCATGTCTTCCCAAACATATGCATAGTGGGCTCATTCCTTTCTGAATGTACCTGTGCTTCAATAGCCATCATGCTTAGTCTGGGTGCCAGAGCCTGACTAGGAATATAGGCCATAGACATGGTGGGAATTGGTCTGATGGGACACTGGCATGACGCCAAGGTGGCCCTCACATGCGGTCCAGCCTGACAGATAAATAATCATGCAATATTCCGAAATGCGGTCATAGGTCATAATTTAGTTAGAGTCACTTTTGCTGGTTAAACACTGTGAGTGGTCCATTGATGGCTAATGCTCAGTGGGTTGGGTTGTTATGGAGACCATTTGACCAATGGGAGCTGGCCTTTTTTCAGCCCAGACTTGCCAGCCCAAGCAGTTTGCCTGTCAGAACGGACGGTGCATCCCAGAGACGTGGAGGTGTGACCGAGACGACGACTGCGGGGATCGCTCCGATGAGACATCCTCATGCGGTGAGTCCCCGTTGCCAGCTGGCAGACGTGCGCTGTTGCGCTGTCACATGAAGACACTGTCACATGCTCTCACCATGGCACACACAATGAGAAGAAATCTAAAAGAGCGAAAATCACAGAAGGCCTCGTCCTGATTATTCGAACCCGTAACACCTACAGCAAGTGGATTTTCAAAGTGGGCATGACTCTATCAGCTGGACGGTGTGGATGTCACTGCCTCACTGACATTGCAGATGCATATTACAGTTGGGCTCCGGCACTAGCGATGGGCCCCTGTGACAGTCACTCCTCTAAGGAGTGGCCGTCTCCCCCTCTTCCTTGCCGAGAAACCCGTGTCAGGTGCGTGAGAGGAAACCATTTGATTGACCAGGAGGCTCTTGTGTAAACAAAGCGGTGAGCACTCTGAGGTCTGGGTTAAGATGTTCTGGGCTCCTAAAAAGGTCAGTGTTTATCACCACTGTGCTATTTTCTTGCCAATCTGACAACTCCATCATGCACTTAAGACTTTAAAATGTCAATTGGGATGGACTTCCTTCCGGAACGGTACCTCGTATCCTGACCGCGAGGTGAGGGGGCGCCCCAGGGCTTCCATAAGAAGGTCACAGAGCCTGTGGCGTCACACTCTCTCGCCACTTGAACTATGAGCTCACCAGCGCTCTCATTCTCCATTCTCCAGCGTTATGTGGCCGGGGAGGACACAGCTCCCCCACGCCGTGTCTCAGCACCATCCATTGTCCTTTCTTTTTTTGTCTTAGATGAGAGAGGTGGTCACTCACACCTCTTCACTCTTTCATAACATCCTTAATACCCATTCTGGAAGATTCTCCTCTCCTTCCCATATTTCCCAGGAGATGTCTCATTTCATTTTAAAATTGGACACCCTTCTTTAGGTCTTGGGTGGCCTCATCTTTGCAGTGCCAGGATTGAGAAAGATATATATCTGCTTTAATATTTAATCTGTCAGATAACTGTGAGATTACACTTAGTCTTTCCCAAGTAAATTATCTTAAATCAGTTCCAGTTACTGAGTGTCCTTAGATGGAGGTAATTTTAGGCAGATTTGTGTTTTTGCCCTAAACAATTGCAGCACAGTGCTCTGGAATCTGTTGGTATTTACCGAGATTTAGTCATCTGCAATCTGAAAAAATTACAGGAAAACAGTGACAGAAATACGTGTTAGGGCAAGCTGCGAGTGTGGAGATCCGCTGCGACTAGTTCCTGTACACATTCGGAGCTGTGCTTTGTACATCTTGCATCTGGAATATTCTGTTTTCTTTGAGGCTGGGGAGAAGATTTATAATGTTCAGTAGTGTTGTCATTTCTATGTGAAAGGTGTTCAAGCCACAAAACTGAGAGTTTACTCTTGCATTTATCAGTTTTGTTTGTTTTAGCTAGAGCTCTGTATCAGGGCTCCTGTTGGGACTGGAATTTCAAAACTGATAAATATTATATAAATATTAATCTGTCAAATTACCTGCTCTGAATGGAGTTGTCCTGGAGACTAACTGGGGTGTTATGTATAAGCACTTTCATTCACATATCCACGGTGAAGCGTTTTTTAAAGAAGATTTATGCCACAGTGCGCTGACTATCTTTCGTCACAGCCAAATGAGATCCACAGGAACAGCAATTACAGCCTGCTCCTACGTTTGCATTCACGTTCTCGGATCTGAAATGTGGCTGGTTTTCACAGTCGGCCCATTACTTCATGAAGAACGACTTGGTGAACAGCATCGAACAGCACGCTGTCAACACAGAAGCAAGATTAATCCACCGGGCATCTGGACATGACTGTCTGAATCACATCAGGCCCACTTTTCACTTCCACGCTGACTGCAGAACAAAAAAAGTGACTTTAGGCCCTGTGGAATTGTGGGTCGCCTTTGTGTCGGAAAGCCATTCCGTGTGGGAGTTGTAAAGCTGTCCGGCTTGCGGCGCCCTGAGGACTTCATTATCACCCCATACACTTTTCTCATGTGTGGCTCTCTGGTGATGGAATGAACTGCTTAATCACATCCAGTCATCAGAACACTTCTACTAGCCTGACACCACTCTGTGATCTTTCTGCTGATTCAATAGTCATCTTCTTAAATTCTTGCTTTGTTCGGTAGATGGTGTGTAGGTCTTGCCGCTGTACTGCTGACACTTGTATCTGGGCGGTCATTGGAATTTCAGCCTAGCTGCACTTGCCTCGTTGACTTCTAAAAAGCCGTATGTTTTTATTGTGCTGTTGGCCTCACTTCTACTGTATGTCGTTCTGGACAAAAGCGCCTGCTACATGATCTAAATGTAAAAGCACGCTGCCATGCTTCTTCCTCTGAAGGTGTCGGTAGTGGGCAGCGCTATGCTCTTTAGTTGAAGTGTTCCGGCTCTAGCTTCTGCATGGCCACGTTTATGTGACCTGCACATTCACTTATTATTGAGCCTGCCCCACCACCCCACCCCCCATCTCCATTTCCATTTGTGGAAGAAGGGTGTATTTTTTTCCACCATGTAGGCAAGCGGATTCCTTAAATCCTTCGTGATCCATTCACCGCTGTGCTATGGCAGATGCTAGAATGTTCTACCACATTTCAGGCCAGGGATGATCACCTGTCACCTATCGCCTGACACTGGGCCAGGATGAATAAATATACAGACACCAACTGGTCCCCTGACACCCTATGGAGATGCTGTGGCACTAAAGTCCCAAGCCGTGAAAACAAAGATCCATTTAATCTCCCCTCCCAGTGCCTGTCACACATTGCATCATAACCGTCATTGCAGGTTTTTTTTTTTTTTGCCAGTATTTCTTTTTTTTTGCATTACATTTGCATTGATTTGTCTTTGAGTTCCTTAGGTAGATTTGTAATCTTTACGCAAATGAGTACCAGGCTCTGCAGGCCTAAGTGTAAAGGAAGGATGTATCCGAACATACCGAACAACCTCCACACAGCAGCATGGGCAGGTGGCGAAGGCCCAACCACATGGGACCTGACACCATAACCAACTGGACAGATCTGGCTAACCCTACTAATGAGTGATGGCCCATTGTAATCCCATCCTATGTTTTGGGGTCTTATTCCACCTGTGGCTTTGGGCTGTGAAGCCACCTGCATAAATTCACTGTGACATTAACGAGGCGGATTGTATCTCGAGATGCATTGCACGTGGAGAGGAGCTGAACTTTTCAGGAGCAGAAGCAGGTCGAGTCCTGTTTTATGGTCCTGTTGTAAAAATTAACCGACAGATGTTGGTTAATTTTGTGGTTGTCGGGCATTTATTCTTTGCTGTCAATGATGTCTGTCCGGGAGTCCCCCCCCCCCGCCCGACATGTGGTCCAATTCGGCTGCACTGTTTGCCAGTTGAAAGTGGTCTGTTAAGGTTGGGAGTCCCCGTGTTCGTTTAAGCCCTGGAGAACGTGCTCTGAAAGCAGGTTTTAAGCTTCTTGGATGGGCTCCAGAGGAGAATCATCCTGGTGAAGGATGCAACTGGTTCTGCTCCTGCCATCTTGTCAGAGATCTGGAGTAGTTCAGCCTTTCTGGACTGGTACCCGTGATCAGAATTTAGTGTTTTCATACCTTTCACACTAAGATCCAGCCGTACAAATGAGCATCTACTAAACACTGAACAACATTATTGGCAGCTAACCTGGCGTGCTGTGTGCTTAACTCATCATTCACGATAAAGACTGTAGCATTTGATGGCTTTTATATGTGGTATATTTGCACCACTGATTAAGATTTTCACGTTATATTGTGTTTTCTCAGAAAGCGTTGAATATTTGATTAACATTTAACCAAAGTAATTATGCTTAATTTTCATAATTGGTGCTCTACCATTTGAACCACCGGAGTGATCGTTACTTCTGTATAGCCAAGAGCATTTTTCTCGTCCAATTGAATAATTTACCTGCATTTTTATATTCCATTAGAGTAATACTATACCCTTTTTATTCCACTTAATTTAGTGCCATTTATAGCTGGGAATTATACCATTGAAGCAGAAAATTAAATCAGGAGCTTAATAGTTATGTTCAAAAACAAGAAATTGTTTAGAAGCAACCTGGCTGTTTACTGGTAGTTGGCTTCAGATATTTCCTCCAGTTTGAATTGTCCTCAAACAGACAAGGCAAAATGAACATGCTGAGTGCACACTCTGATACTGGGAGCATACAGGTGGGCTTGCACAAAGGACCCCAAACTCTGGGCTACTGCTTCAAGTCCCAGGAGAGGCTTGGATATTGAACCATTTCTGGTTCTGAGTCTGGTTCGCTGCGGTTTATTTTTCCAGCTGCCGGACTGGGCTGAGGACCAACGAGTCGGCTGCTTCCAAACTGCGGAAGTGGCCTTACCACCGTGCTCAGCTTCATTACTTAGACAGGCCGCTCCAGGACTCGGCATGATGATGATTATTATGATAATTATAAGACTCTTGCCCCCCTCCCCCCAACAAAACCTAAGTAAATAAATAAGAAGAGCTTGTGTTCAGCGTTGAAGTGCTTCAGATATGTCTGCATCTGGACCACAGTTAAACAGTGGGGGGCCTTCTGGAAGCATTCGCAGGCATTACGGACGCCCCTCCCACCCCCAATTTGCTCCTGTAATTAAATGTCGGCGTGCTCACATTTCACATTGCCTTCTAAACGACAACCCAAGGAGAAAAAATCAAAATTTATTACCCCAGGAAAATTCAATTATACTCATTAATGTCAAAAAACTGTCGGAAAAGTTTATCGAAGTAGTGTCCCTATGCGAGCTCATGGAAATGCCTGACTAATTAATGAGTGTGAGATTTAATTAATCGTTTCATTAATTAGTCCAGTGTACTTAAGTGTGCAGCGTTCCAGTCGCACTGGTGCTTTCTTGGGGTTGTGTTTCCGGAGGCACGTTTTCACATTTCTCTTTTCTCTTTTCTGTTTCCCCAGCTTTTCCTACCTGTGAGCCCCGGACACAGTTCAGCTGCTCCAACGGCAGGTGTATCAGTGCCAAGTGGCACTGTGACTCCGGTGAGTCCCCACTGATCACCGGGGGTGTGTGACGTGTGCACGCTCGCGCGCGTGTATGTGTGTGTGTGTGTGTGTGTGTGGGGAGGGGGGGGTTAGGTTTATATTTCATTGTGGGGGACCAAATGTCCCCCACAAGGTGATAAACACCTGTTCTTTGACATTTTTCAGGTCCCCACAAGGATATGTGAATGCAATCAAAAAACTAAAAATGCCAAAAGTCTCATATTTTGTTTGGCTACTTATGGTATAGGGTATAGGGTTAGGGTTAGGGAGGGGTTAACATTGGGGTTATGCCCATAGACATGAATGGAGATTCCCCATAAAGGTATGCATACGTGGACTGTGTGTGTGTGCGCACGCCTGCACAACAGTCTTGTGTATACTCTTTATACAAACATATACAGCGCCCTCCACAATTATTGGCACCTCTTATAAAGATTTGTAAAAAGGGTTAGGAAAAAAACTGACCTTTTGATGAAGTAGTTTCATATTACACTGAAAAAATTACAAACATCCAACCTTTCATTAAAATAAATTTATTGAAAGAAAAACAAATCCCTCATCAAGAAATAATTATTTTCAACAAAAACACATGTGCCACGATTATTGGCACCCCTGGATTTAATACTTTGTACAACGCCCCTTTTCCTGTATAACAGCATTGAATCTTCTCCTATATCATTTTATGAAGTTGGAGAATACAGAGCGGGGCATCTGAGGCCATTCCTCTTTACAGAACCTCTCCAGACCATCCAGGGTTCTAGGCCCTCTCTTCTGCACTCTACTCTTCAGCTCAGCCCATAAGTTTTCAATGGGGTTCGGGTCAGAGGTCTGAGATGGCCATGGCAGAAGCTTGATTCTATGGCCAGCTAACTTTTTTTGTGTTGAGTTGGACATGTGCTTAGGATCATAGTCCTGCTGGAAGATCCAGTTTTAGTTTCAGCCAAATTTTGATTTAAAATGTTCATAGTGCCATGTACAATAACAAAGTTTCCAGGGCCTTTGGAGGAAAACAGCCTCACAACATCACAGAACCTCCACCATATTTTACAGCTGGGATAAGATTCTTTTTATTATAACCATCCTTGAATGTTTGTTTACTGGCAAAAAGCTCCATTTGATTTTGGTTCCAGTTAAAATTGTAGTAGTGTTTCACAAACTCCAGGCGCTTATGTTTGTGGTTAACTGACACAAAAAGCTTCTTTCTAACATACCTTCCAAATACTCTGTTAGGATGAAGGTGGCGTAAGATATTTTTTTCCTGAGACTTGATAACCCCAAGATTTTATTTGGTCTTGTAATTTACCAACCATGATCCTTGGGGATTTTTTTGCCTCTCTCCCAATCCTCCTCATTGTACATAGAGGAAAAATAAACTTGGGTCCTCTTCCAGGTAGGTTTGTAACAGTTCCAGTTGTTGTCCACTAGCAGTAGAAATGGGCATTTTCAGGCGAGTAGCTATTTTTTAATATCCATTCCCAGATTTATGAAGGTCAGCACATTTCTCCTTCATTTGGTCTGTGTGTTCTCTTATCTTTCCCATGTTGATGGATAACTAAGGGACTTTGGGCTCTGTGTCACCTCATGTTTGTACCCCAGTTAATCAGGAAGTCATGGATTACAGCTTGAATGTTCCTGCACACTGCAATCAACTCAAAGATATACAATTCACATGGGAAACATGCTTCAGTTACATTGTGTTCAACATAATTTCCAGGGGTGCCAAATATTGTGGCACACGTATTTTTGTTAAAAGTAATTACAGTCAGCCCTTGTGCATTTGCGCTTCGTGATTCGCGAATTCACAGATCCACGAAAATTTCATTGGAACCGAACTTATTTGTATCCGCTATTTTTTCGCACATCTGCGAAATCCTCTCAAAACCCTACAGAAGTGTTTATGTTTAATTTTCGTAGTACAGACGGTCCTCTACTTACGAACTTTCAGACATACGAACGAAGAGGACTCTAAGTCCAAATTGTGTTTGTTGGGCTCCAGCAAAATCAAATTTTGTTCTACATGCCAATTCCGCCTAGTACAAATTCTGGCCGCTACTCCTGCCGTCGTGTGCATACTCCCAGCATCCCAGTTCTTTGTGCTTTCTTGAGATAATTTTTGTTTTATGTATCATTAGTAATGTGTTTTAGGATGAGACAACATGTATTGACATTATATCATACTTACTTATGCATGCAGATATGAGTACCCTTAAAATGATGCTGAATAACAACTTGCAAACATTTCAAGTCACGAACGGCTGTTCGGAACATATCTCGTTTGTAAGTAGAGAAGCGTCTGTAATTTAAAAGTTGTCATGCTTTTAAGTATAAAATTGGTAAGAAATTTAATTAATGAAGATTCTACTGTGTTCAAGACATACAATATTAATCAGTTAAAAAATCCCTTAAAACATTGCTTACTTATGGAAACGTTCCTTTTTATGTACATACTGTACTGTACCTTTACAAAGATGCGAATCCCATTCACAAAGTTTATTCCCTTTGGAACACTAATGGTTACGTAAATATTAGAAAATAGTTAATTTACTATTTTGTAATAGTAAGTACACGTTAACATAAATTCAAACCGAAATGCTCCCAGGAACCCCCACCTGAAGAGGGAGACTGAGGAGATATAAATTTTCATGTATGCTATGCAGTCATTTTCATATTTCCACCATACTGCACAGCTAATTCATAATCATCATTATCTTAAATCAATATTCATCATTGGTGAGTACCCATACTACTGTTTTTTATTGAATATTTTTAACGTGTCTATGTATTTTTGTTTGGTTATTTTTAGAACTTGTTTCTGTATGTCTTTACGTAATTTTTAATTGATTAAATACCTGTACCCTGCACGTACAGTACATGTTTCCTTTACGTATTTTACTGAATTGTATCTTGGTTACGTATATGACTTCTGTCAATAAGTTTACAATCCCGTTCATTTACTCACTTTACGTTACTGTGAATGCAAAAGAAAACGGCAGCCAATGCCGTGTTCTATGAATTAGTAGGGGTAACATTAGTATACTGTACTGTAAATGTGCTAGTGTGACAAATATCCGTTAGGCGATACTGTACTCTATTTTTACATCAAACATTTGTTTTTTTTAAAGGTAATGTATTAAGCTAACTTTTAAATGAAATTAAAGTGTTTTTCGAGCATGACTCGGTCATAATTAGGGTTTAAATTATAAAAATAAACACATTACCATTTTTAGTGACTCTACCAAACATCCGCGAATCCTCCTCATTCGTGACGGGTTCTGGTACCTAACCTCGTGAATGTCCGAGGTCTGACTGTTTTTCTTGATAAGTTTATTCAAAGAAAAAAAAAATAATTTCAATGAAAGGTTGGATTTTTCTAATTTTTTCAGTGTGAGATGAAGCTGCTTCAGTAAAAGGTGCATTTTTTCTAACCCTTTTTACAAATCTTTACAAGGGGTGCCAATAATAACCAACATAAGTAAATGTGGACTAATGTCCACGATACCACGATACATAGTTTAGGGAAGCCCTAACACAAAGAAATCGAAATATGCCTGTATGTAAATTTAACTATTTATCTATTCATTTTTATCTATTAATTTATTGTGCTCTTTTACTGCATATTACTAGAATATTTTTGGCTTGTGTGTTTTGTGCTATATGGTGTCTTAAATGGTAAATCTAACTTGTGTATTAGACTCATGTAAAGGCATCGTGGAACAAATTACTTACATTAGTTGAGAACTGCCTGTACATTTCCTTGGTTTTTATGGGCAAGTTAACCATATTTGGCATATATTGGGGATGGATGGATGGCTGTAAGGTTATGATAATAAGTTTGCTTTTAAATGTAAGTTTTATGTATTGGATAGTCCTGCTTTGGAGGTGGTTGGGGTCAAGCTCTGATGCTCAGGCGTGTGGGGGCATACAGCGCTCCATCTCATGGTATTGAGACTAATGGCTACTGCCCTCCCCCCAGACGACGACTGCGGCGACGGCAGTGATGAGGCTGGCTGTGTACACTCCTGCTCCAGCACACAGTTCCAGTGCACTGGCGGCCGCTGCATCCCACGCCACTGGGCCTGCGATGGAGACGACGACTGCGGCGATGGCAGTGACGAGGGCAGCGCCTGTGCTGGGGCGGGTCAGTACCGTTGGGGCGGGTCAGTACTGTTGGGACGGGTCAGTACCGCTGGGGCGGGTCAGTACCATTGGTGCGGGTCAGTACGGCTGGGGCGGGTCAGTACCGTTGGGGCGGGTCAGTACTGCTGGGGCGGGTCAGTACCGTTGGGGCTGTCTCAACAGTGACGCAGCACATTCATGCAGCCTGTTTCACTGCTGAACTGCTGAACGTGGAAAGCACTCTATTTAGTTCTGTTTCAGGATGGACATGGTTTCAGAAACTGTTATGTTTACAAATTAGGGAAATGGGTCTGTATCTGTGGAAAAAACTGCTAGAACATCTTTTATTTATCATGTTTCCTCATCTACCAACAGCAGTCATTAGTTAGCACGGAGATCTGATGACTTTAAAAGTCAAACATCTTGACACTTACTGTGGGAAGCATTAATCTACAACAGTCCCTGTCCTCCAGTACCCTTGCTGTAATTGGCCATGCCTCCGAAAGCCGGACATGGGCTGCTGTTCGTCACCGGGCCTCCCCAAAACGTCCCAGGTCCTGGAGTCTGTTTGTGATCCTCTCTGGCCCCAGGGGGATCTGTGATCTGCTGTGAAGCACCAATCTCATACGATTCCATAAGAGCGATACAGAGGGAAAACTGGGAACATTTTTTTTTAAGTATAAAACGCTCTGTTTTGATTTTTGCCCTGAAACGCAGTGGTCTTATATCCGGCAGAGGCTCCACAGTGTGTATTTTTGTAACCGTGTAAAGATCAAAGTCATCTGTGACTTTTCATATTAGTCACAGCAAGCCGTGGCCCATCCACCTGGTTCTTGTGCCATTCCTTTCTGGTATTCCCCCCCTCCCCGCTCTGGGTTCCCAGTCATCTGCAGTCTTCCGAGGTCACAGGAAACTTCGTGACCCATCCTTGAACCTGTGCGCAAGGTGCCGTCTATCCAGGCGTGCTGTGAGCGACACTGGCTGCAATCTGAGATGTCAGCCCTCCCCCTGGCAGCACCTGGCATCCTCTGTGATGAGGACTTGTGCTTGGCGCCTTGAATGACCCATGCAGCTTGTCACCAAGCCACCCCCCCCCACACACACACTTGGCTTTCATGTCTTGCAGTTTGAGGGACATGGCTACCCACCTTGCTACTTGGTATAGAAGCAAGTGGGGAAAAATGTTGTTCACGGTCTGGCAGTTATACTTAAATAAAATACCCAGAATTGCCAGTCAGAGCATACTAAATATCCCAGATCCTCTTTCCCCCTTAAAGTTAGCATTGTAGCTCTTTGGAGTTTTCTAGAAGTGCTTTCACCAGGGCATCATGGAAATGGCGAGGCAGGAGCTGCCTTTTGCACTGAGGCCTGTTCCTTTCTCTGCACTGCCGCATTTAGCCGCGCTCCCCGCCGCCGACTGCAGCGCAGACGAGTTCCACTGCAGCGCCGACGGCACCTGCATCCCGGAGCGCTGGCTCTGCGACGGCGAGAGGGACTGTGAGGATGGCGGAGATGAGGCTGGCTGCCAAGGCACGCTCCGCATGTGTGATCCTGCTGCCAAGTTCACCTGCAAAGCCTCAGGTGGGTGGCTCTTCAGAGACCATGCCTATCTGGAGTGTTCTGATTACCTGGCCAAGTTTCCTCTTTCTCTTTATTGGGGTACTGGATCTGTGATTATCTGTTTATCTGGAATGTGGGGAAAGAGAACCAAGCCTGTAGAAGTAAAGACTCACCACCCCCCACCCCCCACACACACACACACACACACTTTATTTATTTATGGTATTCCGTTATGTTATTTTGGAGCTGCAGATCTCCTAAAAAGATTCCAAATGCCTGTCCGGTGGGCCACAATCTGGTCCGGGTGTGGAATTTCAGATTGCCCCTGTGAGCAGGGCTCAGGTGCATCTCACAGTGTAGTAGACATGCAGCATGGGCCAGTTATGACCCGTACTGTAGAGCACACTTTCCTCAATGCACAACAGTTTGAATTTAAGAACAGGGAAAATTGGTAGGAATTTCTCTCCAGAGGGAACATATCTTGCGGCCTGACTCCATTTCGAGCAGCTATCCCGGAAGTGATGCAGGGAAATTATTAGCTTCTTTGCTCCAGAGCCATTTTTATTTGGAAGGGCCATTTAAGACTTTGTTGGTAATCATGCTAAGGAAAATTAACACCAGGAAACAGTATGGAGAATGAACAGTAAAAGGATTCAGAGAACCCCCGCCCCCCCCGGTCATGTGTTTTCTGCCCTGGTGTCCTTATTTTCACCCTAAGTGGAGGTGACAGGTGTTTTGATGAAGATGTACTGGTGACACCTGCGTGTCGTTCATTCGCATTTCCAGTCAGGACTAAACATAAACTAAATCGGGCCTCAGACCCTGAAGTGCTCAGGTGAGGAGAGGGTTTTTCGCACTTCAGAAGAGCTAATGAATGTTTAGGAAAAAGCCATCAGTGCTGAAGAGGGTGACGTTCATTATGGGGCTTTAATTGATGCGGTGGTCTCTGAAGGGGGCACCTCCTTTCACACCGCAAAGTGACAGGTGCAAGGCTGATGAGGACACTCTACCTGGGTGAGCTCTCGAACAGGCGAGCCGCAATGAGCCCGTAAGCGTCATCGATCAGTGACTCTTCTTTCAGCTCCCCCTGTCCCTAACAAAGAGATGCCTGCTTATACATCTGCTGTCATCCAAGTGTGTCATTACTTTAGAGCAAGCAGACTTATTCCCCAGAGGACGAATCTGGCATTCCCTGTGAATTTTCAGGTGCCTTTGGATTTTGTCTTGGAGCCCCCTGTTGTCCCATGTCCAGACGCTCTCTGCGTGTGCTGGTTCTGTGATTAATGCTAGTTATTGTCCACAAGATCCTGTCGCTTCAACTAAATCTTCAAAACTTGAGAGACACTTACCCTAACCCTCCGAAACGAGAGAAACGGTTACTCTAACGCTCATAAATGAGAGACCTTTACCATGACCCTCCTAAAAGAGACTGTTACCTGAACCCTAATCCTCCTGCATTAGAGAGACCTTTACCCTAACTCTCCTAAATGAGAGAGATGTTTACCTAGACTGAATTTGTGAAAACATGATTCAATCACGGCAGGGGAGTGTCTTCAAATTGACATTTGAGTTTAGTTGTTTGGTTGCTATTTCTAGGCTGCTCTGATAACCTTGCTGTTGAGGCATGTCATTTGCATCAGTCCCTTGTAAAGTGTCTCCTTTACGCATAGAGGACACCCCTGCACTCACTCTCGTTGTCCTGTATGCTTCTGGCCATTAACCTCCTTTAGCATCAGAGCTAAATGCTGAAGCTGCTCTGCCAGGGACTCCAATCTCGCCTTACATTCCTCCTCGACATACTGAAAGGTTATTTTTCATGTCCCTGAAACCAAAAGTGATGATGTAGCCAGTTTACAGTGCCCAGCCCCCCCACACACATCTGTCATCCAGTTTTTAAGATACTCTGTGTAATTGTTCAAGCCTGGGGGGCAGTGGTCATTTTTTACAATTTTTGTCTTCGGTGGAGCTGAGGTGTCATCTGTTAACAAAGTGCTTTGGTTTCAGTGACGTTTGTGACCTTCGCCATGTCACCCTGTTCACCTCTGACTGAAATGTCTCATTTTGTCCCAGAAATATCAGAACAGTAATGTAAATTAAACTGCCAAAGTTACCACGGTAATATGAGGTTCCTTAATGAGAAAAGGAAAAATAATCAAGAGGTCTGGTTTGGTGGTCTCGCCTAGGGATTGACCACCATTTCTGGAATGTTCCTTGGCGTTCCATTACTTGCAGGGAAGTGTGTCAGCAAGAGTTGGGTGTGTGACGGTGACCGCGACTGCGAGGACCTGTCGGACGAGGAGGGCTGTGAGGCTCCTGTCTGTGAGCCCCCCAGGTTCCCCTGTGCCAATGACAGTGCCACCTGCCTGCCCCCAGAGAGCATCTGCGATGGGAAGAAGGATTGTGCCGACCATTCAGATGAGGGACCCTTCTGTGGTGAGTGGGATGCTTGTGAGGGCCAGCACCATACACAGTGACTTTAGTGACTTTCTGTTCATGCATAATACCTGGTGGCGACATTAAAAGTTGAAATGATGAGTAATGAGGTTAATTACTTGGATTAGATTGTGAGGAAGGTAAGTAACATTATGGAACTTGAACGCAAAAATATGAGTAAGGAAGGGACACAAAAATCTATGGGTTCTGGTAGGCAATGCCAGCTGGCTGGCCTCCTCTCGCTGAGTGCATACGCATGTAGCTGGAAGGTGGCCCAGGTGCCGTCCACCACGTCCCACGTGTCACAATGCCCCAGGATAGAATCTGCAGGGTGCGCTCATGGGGGGCCAGCACGCCTTTTTGAACCAGCAGCATCACAGTTATCGTTGATGCGTGACATGGATCTCCTGTCCCCAGAGATAAGCCTTTATCCCAGTGACATGGCAGGGACAGTCGAACTCCCATGGACGTGTGATAAATGATGTCGGTTGGAGCCATCCCTCAGCACTGAAAGATGAAGGAATCTTTTCATTGTTCCCTGTGTCCAGTGAGGAATGATGTCCATTTTGTCTCTGTGCTAATGATTGAAGGATGTAAATGTTTCTCCAGCCTAAACTTCTTTAGTGGGAAGGAGGAACTAGTGTAATGAATGAAATGTGGATGGTTCTCTGAATCATCCTCAAAAAACCTGGAGGTCTAAGACTAGCTGGATGCTTTCCCCAAGGGAACACTAACCTCACACTGGTGAAGCAGGCCCAAAGCAGTGACCTCACTGCATTGCGCATCATTTCCCCTGAGCTTGAGACTTCATCCTTCATGCCAGAGTGCTGTGGAGACCTCCCACCTGTCAAAGTCACCGTGGCAGATCTGGAACATCATAATGGACACAAAAAAAAAAAAACCAGCTAAAAAAACCAGCTAACTATCTGCTAGCCACTGGCCAGGGTCATACCTTGGACTTTCCACATGAGAGAAATATGGAAAGTGTGGCTGTTCAGAATCAAAATCAGACTCAGTCTTATTCTCACCAAATACATAGGCGTACGTGTACAAGGAATTTGGCATGGTCTGTCAGTGCAGTCAAAAGAATTTAAAAATAAAAATAGCACTAAAATAACAAGCACACAGTAACGACGCTAGATACAATAGACAATAGTAGTATCCAGATAACTGAGTGATGCAGATAACAGATTGAAGCTGTGCAATAAAAAACAAGACAAGACAATAGAGAATAAATAACATGGTTTGAAGAGTTGCCGACCCTCTGGTGGTCTATAGGGAAGGTCTCACCACCAGCAGTTTCATCAAGGGTTCCTCTTTTCGTAAGGCTGACTTCACCCATGTCCTCCTTGTTTGTTTTTTGCTTTTTTGAGCAGGGATAACTCTTAATGAAAGGGAATGAGGCAGGGTGGCTTATGTGACCTATTCTGGAACTTTATGAAGGCTGTGCTGGGACTGTCTTAATGCTTGTTACATTTTTGTGCAAGTCTGAATTCTAAGCTGTTCTTTCACCTTCTGAGTAGTTTCATCATAAACTCTCCCAAATTAAATATTTTTAATCCCTTACACTACAAGCAAATACTACAGCTGAGTACTCAGATCACTTACGTGATATAATATATTCAATAATTATTAGTACCATCTTAAATACAATGTTATTTATAAACTGAAACCAACTGTACCGCACCGCAGATCAGCGAAAGCGGTGGCTGTATCCTACCAATAAAATCCTTCAATTTAATTTTCATTTAACAGAGGCGCAGTGTCACAGGGGAAAATCTGGCAGTGTCTGATCGGTGAAAGTTGACAGATGCATTAAAACTGAAGTCATGGCCACCATGGCACTAAATAAAGACGTCTATAAATGAATGCCTGTGAGACACCTCATATAACTGCAGCTGGCTTGCAGGCTTTGCAAGCCTTTCCGGGGCCCGCATGAGTTTGATTAATTAGTCGAAGCACCTCGGGATTATTCCGCATGGTGACCTCCAGGAAGACTGTTGCCGGGCGACCTGATGTGGACCGCCATCACCCCTGGGGGGGGAAAATATTCAATTCATCCTTGTTAGGGCTGTGAAGAATGTGTTAATCGTGCAATGAAACACCACATGGTCTGAAGACATTTCCACCAATTTTCCCGTCTTTTAATAAGCTCCAGGTGTTCTTTAGATAACTTTCTATTCGAGTGAGGAGAGCGACAGAGACACCCTTTGGGTTAATCGAGTCATGTTGATTTATTTATTTAATGCAGCAGAAAAACTTTTAAAGGCTGAAGTGTGCGTTCTAGCAGCCTTGGGGCTCTCAACCACTCACATGCCTGAATGGTGGAGGTGTGTAGGCTCCTTCTCTTGCTATCCAAGTATATTCATGGAGATTAAGTTTCAGATGCTATCGTTTTTTTCTTTAGATTTGCTCTTTTCCCTGTCACTTTAAGTTAAAGCAGACAACAGTTACATGTACAACTCTTTTGAAGTTGACATGTCTATTGTAGTATATGTGGAGAAAAAATGATACAAAAGGCTGTATGCTTGCCTTGGCTCATGGATGCAGTCTGAAATTCCAGTCTTGACCGAGACAAATGCTTTTTCAGAGTGGCCTTGGCTGGGGCTTGGGTCAGGCAGGTTGATCGCTGATGTAATCTCTAAAGGGGCTTGTTGGACGTGTTCTTGGGACTTGGAAAAACAAGACTGAGAAACATTACAGACATGGGAAGGACGTTTAGCCCGTCTTCCGTTTGACATTCCATACCTTAGTGTGCCGCCGTGATTGAATCTGAATATTTTGGCCTCTTTGCACTCCTGGGGCTCTTACTTCACAAGGGCATCACTGGTTCTGTACTGTACCATCTAAACTGGTCCCCAGCTGGGTTTTGCGTTAGTCCTTGTGCTCTTCAATCAGTGCTGATTAATGACAAACTCATTAGCTTGGCTTCACCTTTACTGTGCCTCTCATTATTTCTGTAGTACTTGAATTAATCACCTCTGTTAGCTACTGGGAATGTTGTTTCCATGGGGAGCAATGGCCGCCATTCCTCCAAATGCAACAGTCATGGGATTTTCACCCACAATGCATTGGAAATGAGGCCCCTCGCCAGTTAGCTTTGTGCCGCTCAGTGTTTCACCACCACGGTTTTCGCATCCCCTTGCTTATCCAGAGGAGTGCACCTTGGGAAATGGAGGCTGCAGCCACCAGTGCACCGTGGTCCCCGGCGTCGGGGCATCCTGCTCTTGCCCACCAGGCCTCCACCTCGGCACTGACAACCACAGCTGTGAGGCAGTGGACTACTGTGGCCGGCACCTTCGCTGCAGTCAGGTGTGCGAGCAGTACAAGACCACTGTCAAGTGCTCGTGCTACCCAGGCTGGAGCCTGGGGCCTGACGGGGATGACTGCCTGAGCACAGGTGACACTCGGCCACCACATTCAGATAAAAGATAACAGGCATCCATTGTGTTATGGTAATAGTCCATGGTAACATTTTGTGTCACAGTAACGATCCATGGTAATATCTGTTGTATCATGGCAACAGTCCATGGTAACATCTGTTGTCATGACAACAATCCATGGTAACATCCATTGTGTCATGGTCCATTGTAACATCTTGTTTTACAATAGCAATCCATGTTAACATCAATTGTACCATGACAACAGTCCATGGTAACATCTATTGTGTCATGGTAGCAATCCATATAAACATCCATTGTGCCATGTTAATGAATAGGAATCATTCAGAGATGGAGTATTCATCTCATTGACTACTACTGACATCATAATTACTCAAACAGGTATTTGAGATATATTGCCCTGTAATATACTGTTCTGATTTAAGAGAGGGATGCTTTGAGTTAAAATCACATAAGAAATTTAAGGCACTTCACCTGAAAACCTCCAAACGCCATTGAATGAATACCAAAGATTTATCCTGCATGTGTGAAACTGCAGATCATGCAAAGCAGAATTTCAGTTGCCTGTGAGAGCTATAAATAATTAATTATGAAATGAAAATAAAGAATTTTAATTAAATGGATGCCCTTAAAAGACTGTTAAAGAGGGAATGGTTTTGCCCCCTCTAAATGTATTTAATTGATTTAACACCATTGAGAATCCTGACACTTATACCCTCCTAGCAGTAAGATAGTAATCCTGTTTTTCCAAACATGACATACAGTATCTGTCTGTTTTCTATTCATGTCGCTCTTCTGTCAGAGTGTGGGGGTTTCATGTTGAGATCTTCGATGTAAAAACAAGTTGTTCTTGAGGCAGAACTTTGAATTTCATTGAATGACGCGATAAAATCTCATCAAATAGAACTGCGAGAGCCAACATGGGTGGTCTTAACTATGCTCTTCCTTTAAGCCATAAGAAAATGCTTCTTGTTTTACATAGGAGAATTATTTGACAGATTTATACTGAACAAGTTCTTATAACATAAAATTTGTGAATCACCTAACTGAAATTAAAACAGATGTTGCTGCAAATGCATTTGGTAGTTAAATATTGAGTCATCTCAAAGGTGAGTCACGTAAAGAAATAGGGTGATTTTCACCTTGTTGGAGACATTTTGTCCAGGCTAGACTGACTAATCCACAGTTAACCCACATTATGGTTTTCTATGTCCCTGCTGGTGTACAGGGTGGTGTGCAGTACAGTGGGTTAGTGCCTGTGACGGGAAAGTTGGTGGTTTGAATCCCACCCTTGGCTGAATAGACGCATCACCTTTGAGATCTTAATTAAGGCCTTTAAGCTCCTGAAATGCTCCAGGCGTGTCAGATGGACAGCTTACCCTGCACTCATGCTCCGAGCTTCACTGTAGCATGTGTGTGTGTGTGTGTGTATATGTGTGTGTGTGTTAAAGCAATGCATGATGGGATATGCGAACACTAAAGCATTGCAGTGTACCTGTACTTGGGTAAATGGGAAATAAAGTATTATTGCACTCATCACTTGTTCTTCCCTAACATCAGACCCATTTGAGGCCTTCATCATCTTCTCCATTCGGCATGAGATCCGTCGCATCGACCTCCATAAGCGTGACTACAGCCTGCTCGTGCCAGGCTTGAGGAACACCATCGCCCTCGACTTCCACTTTAGTCATGGCCTGCTCTACTGGACCGATGTGGTGGAGGACAAGATCTACAGGGGGAAGCTTTCTGACAGCGGAGGTATAGTATGTCTGTCTGGGCTCCACTCCTGTTCATGTATGTTATTCCGATGCTCTTGTGTGAACATTTTCAAATGTCCATTTAATACCAGTGATTGAAACTGCAGTCTTCATTGGTGATAGTTTCTAAATTACCATTACTATTTGATGACTGGAGGCAGCTCAGGAATCAAATACTGATATGAGTGTTTGTCTGTATGCTAGCAGTTAGTACACAGCGAAAGTAACCCTTTCATTTCTGATCTGGATAAACATTGCGCCGTACTAATGCTTTGTGAAAGGACATCTTATAGTCAGTGTTTATGCTGGTAATCTGCTATAGCTTCTCCCATTAATGCTGCAGATATGGTCTTTCGACAACTCGAGCTCTCAGTTGCAGATTCAACACTCTCAGTCTTTGAGGCAGTCGCAAATCAAAGTGAAAGGGCGTATGTTAGAGGAACCATGAGCATGGAAGGGTAATAACCATGATTACCTTTGACGTGGCTCCTTGGTAGGCGTCACCGGCATCGAAGTGGTGGTGCAGCATGGCCTGGCTACCCCAGAGGGGCTGGCTGTCGATTGGATAGCCGGGAACCTCTATTGGATCGACAGCAACTTGGACCAGATCGAGGTGGCCAAGCTTGACGGTGCCATGCGGGCCACGCTGATTGCAGGGGGCATGGAGCACCCACGGGCTCTGGCATTGGACCCCAGCCAGGGGTGTGTACTCAGGAGAAAAAGCAAATGTGCTTGCTCACCCACATGAGACCAGTTCTGATTCGTGTGATGAAGCACGGCATTGTTTGTGAAATGTCTTCATCATCATGTTTAGGTTTCTCTAACTGGTGTGGTATCTGTACTTGTCTATCTTAGATATTACTCACCTAGATTTACATGCAAATGACCCATTTCACAGTACCACAAAATGCATTAATGAAACGCCAACTTGAGCTTTATAACACAATTAATGATCTGTCTGTGTCGGTCACGGTGCATGTGCGATTCCTTTCGTACTGCTGTTGGTGCAACTGAAATGAAATAATTTGTTCAAAATTAACCTTGATTAGTAGTGAGTCTCTCTTGCTGATTAGTAATCTCTCAGCGCAGCTGTTTCTGGTTATGAAAAAGGAACCAGCAGTCCTCATGTTTGTGCTTGCTAAATTTTATGTAAATATTGTAATTAAACAAAATAACCAAAAATTTAGAAAATGAATTCTGAAACCCATCTAACATAATTACCCATCCCTGTTGCTGTCATCAAAAAGCAGGAAAAGATTTTTATTGTTTATTTATTTTTTTTTAAAGATATTTTAGGTGGAAAAGTCGGGGTTTTGGGCATGTTTGAGTCCTTCTTTGGCAAAGTTCCCCACCAAAGTGATAATTCTTTAATCTAATTACTTTAATTCACCCAGAGGGCTGGAATATTGATTTGCACATCTGATCCGAAGAATGTCAATATCGATCCACCACTGGGGGGCCGAGTAACTCACAGCTTGGCACCTGCTGCCGGAGTGGGGGGGAGCGGAGAGTGCCCAGGGTTGGGGCCGTGTCATCTGCAGGGGGGGAAGGCGGGATTGTTTATCACCGAAGGGCTGCCCAGGGCAGACTGTGACCTTTAGCAGGCGGTACCAGTGGGGTCCTGAGGCAGGCTGCCCCCCTGCCAGCAGTACACTTTCCAGTTCATCGACGGAGCTGTTTCTCACCTCCGATGCTGGCCGTACCTGCATGTCCGTGGATGAGAGTAAACAGCAGCAGCAGGCAGGAACATGCTCAGATGAGCAGGGGGTATCGCTGAACGTGAGAACCGTACAAATCCTCTAATAGCCAACAGAAGCCCTTATGTACAGCATCCCCCAAATGAAGCCCCAAATGCAACCTCGATCCCAGGAAAACCGCATGGTCTCTCTTCCCCCCTGAGTTCCCCTTCCTCCTGAGGGTAGTGCAGCCACATCTTTGTCAGTGTGTGGTTGCTTGCTCCTGTGCTCAGCTTCTGGAACTTGCCAGAATTTCAGGCTCAGGTGAATAAATAACAGTTTTAAATAGGAGCCCAGCTTGAATGGAAAACAGGGCCAACTGTTTGCTGCAGTAAATCAGCCTCACGACAGGGTGGGAACGAATAATTAAATAAATAAGAATAAATAAAATATATTAAAAACTTCAACCAAATACAGGCTAAGTGCCTATAACATGTTTGTGTATGCAGAGTATAAACATCATTATGGCAAACAGGAGACCAGGCACTATTTTGAGCCCTGACAGGTGACATGTGATGTCCAGTGCTGTAGCTCATCTGGGTGTTTTTATTTTCTGATTAGGATCCTCTTTTGGACCGACTGGGATGCCAATTTTCCTCGCATTGAGGCCGCCTCTATGAGTGGCAAGGGGCGGCACGTGGTCTTCAGAGACATGGAGATAGGGGCGTGGCCGAACGGGCTCACCTTGGACCACCTGGAGAAGCGCATTGTGTGGACAGATGCCCGGTGAGCAGCGCAAATGGCCAGCACCATCTTGAGGGTGTGGCTGGGTCACCTGACTCTGGCCGGGAGGGGGACAGAGGGGAACACGGCATGTTTGTCCCGGGGAACATCATGCCCCAGCTGGCTCAGAGCGCTCAGGTTTTCCGTGTCACTAGGGGGGCGTGTTTACAGGTAAACAGGCCTGGAAATATGTGGTAATGAATTTGCAGGGAGGCCAGGGATTGGGCTGCAGAAAAACATGTCGATGTGAATGAATAGATACAGCAACCCTCCCCCCCCATCAGTAAACACTGGGATGCATGCATCTCTCTTCAGTTTCCCTAAAGGCTCTGGCAAAATGTATTAATAATTGCACATAAAAAAGAAACAGTTTATGTAAATATGTGTCGAGTAAAGAATGTTTGTGAAAGTAATGGCTTATGGATGTGATAGTGTCCTCTCTGTGCCCATGAATGAATTAATAGAAGTAAAACATCACCCAGACACATGATATACTGTACACAGTCGCTCATATACTGAGAGCTGGCCTGATCACAGGGAGGTTACAGTTCTGATATGATTATGCAGACGGCCATGGAAACGGCTTTAGAGAGGGTTGCGATTATCATTAAGGAGAAGGTCACGGTTATAGTTATAGAGATGACCATGGTTCCGGTCATTATTTTGAATATGGAGATGCTTGTGATGATGATTATTTTCTAGACAATCATGGTTAGACTGTAAAGATGGTCATGGTTATCGTGATGGGCAAGGTCATGGTAATTCTTATAGGCATGATCATGGTTCCGGTCGTAATACATAATATAAAGATGCTTGTGTTTATGATTATAGAGATGATCGTGTTTATCCGGTCATGGTTATCATGAAGGTCACTCTAACAGTAATATTCACTTGCGGCATGAATCCCCAATACAATATGCTTGAGTATCCAACTCATTCATCACAGACATCATGTGACCAGTGTCTCCCCAATTCCCCTGAAGGTCGGACGCCATCTACTCAGCCCTCTATGACGGCACTGGAGTCATTGAGATCCTGAGGGGCCATGAGTACCTTTCACACCCGTTCGCTGTCTCACTATTCGGGGGCAGCGTGTACTGGACCGACTGGAGGACCAATACACTGGCCAAGGCCAACAAATGGACAGGCAGCAATGTGACAGTAATCCAGAAGACCAACGCCCAGCCCTTCGACCTGCAGATCTACCACCCCAGCCGACAGCCACAGGGTAATGAAGATGGTTGGGTATCGTTTGAGTTTTTTTTCTGATAACAGTGCTAAAACACTAAATAACTTGACACCATAAATGTATATATATATAAATAAATGCGAAACACTTAAATTCACATAATGTCCTGGTGTCGGAATCCATTTAAGTGAAATACAGCCATACTTTAGACCATTTAGAATTAGGCATTTTAACTGTGTTTACGGTTACTAGCTAAAGGTTGGTGACATCAGTGCAAGTGTAACCTTAACTAGCAATGGCATGCGAGGTGCAGTGATGTTTCTATTGCCCGAGCACCAGAGGGCAAATATTTCAATTGACAGTTCAGGCATTTATGTGACACTGAAATGAGGCACCGAAATCTGTGTTACAGTACGGTGTGGTACATACCAATCATACTCATCGGTAGCCCTATTAATGACCAGGGGTGATTATGTGGGGGGCAAAAGAGGGGCATACAGAGGGGCCAATCATACCATTAGCCAATATATGCTTTGATTCGATGAGTAACTGGGGAGGGGCACTCATGGGGCCAATCAGCTTTCAACTAGTATGTCCGCTAGTGTGTAAAGAGGTGTGAGTGAATTGTCTTCTCCTCAAACATTATGAGAATTGGCGTTCTTGGTGCTGTTCTGCGTATTTGTTACCCCTGTGCTCCCCTTTGTGCGTTCAGTCCAAGAGCTTTCTCTGTGCTCTGTGTGTGTGTTAAGGGATGTTTACTGATGTAAGAACATAAGCTCATTTGGGGAGAACTTAAATAATAGCTCAGAGTTGTTAAAATCTTATCTAGCTCTGATTTAAAGGAACCCAGGGGTTTAGCTTCCACTACACTAGCAGGAAGACTATTCCGTCCTCTAACTACACGCTGTGTAAAGAAGTGCTTCCTCAAATTTGTTTTAAAATGTTCTCCCGCTAATTTCCACTTATGGCCACGAGTTCTAGTATTTAAAC